ACATGCCTGTAGTCCCAGCTACTTGGGAGGCTGAGGCAGGAGGATCGCTTGAGCCCAGGAGATTGAGGTTGCTGTGAGCGAGGCTGACGCCACGGCACTCACTCTAGCCTGGGCAACAAAGTGAGACTCTGTCTCAAAAATAAATAAATAAATAAATAAAAAGTATAAGTTTATCAGTAATAATAAAAGCAAATTGTGTCTAGTATATAGAAAACTCATAACCATTTGCTTGCATCTCTTCCCTTTTCTTTTTTTTTCTAGAATTGTACTTTCTTGGATTGATCACTTCATTCCAAGACTCCATTAAAACTATCAGACTCCTTAAACATCAGTTAATATTATTATTTAACTTTTTCCCCCCATTGGAGATGTCTTTCCTGGAGTCCTAGTCTTCCTAACCCAATGTGAACTCACTGTTCTCTCAGTCCGCTGTTTGGCTGTTGTCTTAGGATTCCTCTAGTTCCCATTCTTGGATTAATTTCACTTAGATTTTGCATATGATTTTGGTGAATGAATGTTTGGAATTTTTGTCCTCTTAGTTTGGGTATTAAACATCATTTGATAATTAAATAATAGAATTCATAATCATATGTTTAAACCTTCATTCATGTGCATTTTGCTTGTGTTCATCTCGATTTATGAACTTTTTATAGGCACAAACCTGTGTCTTTGCCGTTATATTTATAATTCTTAGCATGATGCCTAACATGTAGTAGTAGCAAGTTACAAGGATTTATTCATTTCTTTTTTTCTAGGAACGTTTGGATTTTGCAATGAAAGAAATCATATTTGATCTTCTCAGTGTTGGAAAATCTGCTAAAACTTTCACCATTAATCCAGATCTCCTGCTGTTGGAATCCCGTCTGTTCTTGCATTTTGGGGGAATATTACACCGATTATCCCTTCTCTTTCATGCATCTTCAACATTCCCCTTATAACTGAATATATCCCATTTCTCTTAACTATACTCATTATTATTTTTTTTTTGAGACAGGTCTCGCTTTGCGTTGGCCGGGGCACGCCTAGAGTGACCGTCGCCAGTGCGTCAGGCCCTCGCTCAGCAGCAACCTCAAACTCCTGGGCCCCCAAGGCAATCCTCGCTGCCTCAGCCTCGCAGTAGGCTGGGACTACAGGCACGCGCCACACGCCGGCTGATTTTTTCATCATCTTTTGTTAGTTGGCATTAATTCTCTATTTTAAGTAGAGATGGTGGTCTTGCTTTCTGCTCAGGCTGGTTTCGAATCCTGCATTGTGAGTTGATCCTCCCGCCTTCGGCCCTCCCAGCAGTCGTGGGATGAAGCGTGAGCCACAAGAAGCCGCATAGTTCAGAAATCTTTTTTTTTTTATCTTCTATTATTTTTTATTTTCGAAGGCCATATTGATGGGTTACAGATTTTTAAGGTTTCAGCAAAATGGCCCATTTCCCCCCCTATCTCATGAAATCTTTAAATGGAACATAACCTTGCCCCAACATTTACCCGGGAGCAAACTCTCACTCCATCCTGTGACCATGTCACTTGTCGTAGAGCGCGCTTTTGGCAGCAGCCTGGACCGGCTGTCCGGAGTGTTCCTTCTCTCCTGAAACGCTCCTCCGCACTGGCTACCATACCTCATGTGTTCACCGCGGGTGTGTCATCTCTACCCTGCACTTCAGGCTCACGCCTCCTTTCCACCTGGCTTCCAAGTCAGCCTGCTTCAAAGCCAGGTCTCCTACGCTGCCGTCTCTTTATTGTCACGTCTTCAGCTTTCCAAAGCGGAACGTCATCTGTCTGACATGGCTTCAAGCCACTCATGGCCAGCGCACCCCCAAACGTCAAGCCTGGCCTCTCCTCTCAACGCAGACCCTCACCACACACGTCTGATACGGTTCCTTACGATATTCTAGAAGATGCTCGGGTTAGGACATGATCGAACCCACATGCGTGAGCCTTGCCCGCAAGACTCCATTCCTGCTCAAGGTTCCTTTTCTCAGTGAATGGGTCGTTCTGTCTGTGGCCACCACCATGTCGCGCCCCCAGCTGTCCTTATCTCTGACTCTGACTTCTCAGCAAGGTAACATGTATATCCCAGATCGAGTGAGCAAGACAGTTCACGGCGCATGCTTAAACACGCTGAAAACTACCTAATTAACACTATGCATTCAATGAACATTTGTAACTGGGCTGAGAAAACAGAGAAGACAAAATTATATTAATTAAAAAACAAAAACAAAAACTATGGCAGCCAGCCATCACAAAATGAAGTCAATTT